TTAAAGATGGTGATCAAACGAGCGCTCCGTTTTGTTTTCAAGGATAAGTCCTCGTCTCATGAAGAACTTTGTAGGCGTATCGGTCTCTCAAGTCTTCTTGAGCAACGATTAGCGAAAATATTGTCCATTGTTTTCAAGATATTAGCCAGCGATACAGGACCTGAAAGTTTACGTGATCTCATAGCATTAAGGCGCTCCACTTACAACCTCAGGGGCACCACCGACAATACTGGACCTTCCAAAGTAAAATCAACAACTTTCGGCTTAAGATCATGGAGATACGCTGCATCGAACACTATACCAGACGAGTTTCGGAAGATTCAAACATACACTGCTTTTAAAAACAACATAAAAGAATCAAATCTCATGGGACTCTGAGTGCGATGTGCCGGTCTGTTCTTAATCAATTTTACCGTTTTTATAATTTTCATATTTTTATGTACTTTTAAACTTAGTTTGACAGAACATTGTTGAATTTTTATATTTCAATATCAATTAGTTTTTAATCTTAACTTATCTTAAATTATACACCTTCCAAAGGCTTGTATTTTTTTTTCCGTTTTTTCTATTAATTTTTTTCGTGGCGTATTTGTGAACTAGTTCTTTAGCTTATTACCGACTACGTTAAATGCATTGATTGATTGATTGATGAATTGATTGGCGTATCGAGGTGTATGTCGCTCGCACCAATCAGATCGTTGCATTTGAATATGTATCTCGCACCACTGAAATCGGTACTGATCAGATCACATCATTAGGGTATGCTTGCATGAATCAGAGTGTCAGAGTATCGTTCTTCATGCCAATCATGTCTTAAATTAGGGTGGTGAGGTAACCCGCCTAACCTTGGTCGAAAAATAAAACGCGTTTACATGCAATCTTACAACCCCAAGGTGCTGGGGTGAGGTTTCTTCAGGTTATTCCGCTTGCAATTAGGAGTTTGAGTGGAGGCGTCCCAAGCTCACGTCTCGAATAAGATGTAAGGTTAATTCTCGGACACATATGTATTCATTCATGAAAGTGTCACTCGTTGTGTTACGCGTTGTTTGGTTTCGCGAGGAACCGGTGACCTAATACGTTATACAGAATAGTTTGGGAAACGAAATATGGTCGATTTACAACGCTAAATATTCCGAAATGTGAACATTTTACACTCACCTACCTGGGGTCCCCCACCTCCATGTAAACAGGCCCTAAAACTCCGTTCCTTTCATGCACCATGATCTCTGTGATCTTGAATCACAAATCCAAATCCGGATCCTCCCAAAGGAACGCACCCTTAAAAGTTGAAACGTGTTTTGTGTTTTGTGTTCTTCACTTACAACGCACACGACGTCATTTAAAGGCCCAACACGAAATCATCACTTGAGCGTTTGTTTTGGAAGGGCTAGTTTTGATGACTCAGCACATTTGATCGACCATCTTGTTTTTGCCATAGGATTGATTCTTTGGCAAAGGTTGAAAAGATCAGCAAGTTATGTTTACTTTATAATTAGCCGTCGATTGGTCTCGTCACGCAACGGAGAGCGCGTTACGTGAAGAGACCAAACAAGGGCCGTGAATGGGACTGCAGCAAGCGTGGCACCAATACAGTTTCGTTTTGCTAACAATTATTCAAACCAGAGGCAATAGACCATAAAATACATGGGTCTGATTTTATTTCAGTTAAATTGAAAGGATTTTTCTTGCTCTCCACTGAACGTTACTTTAACTGGGATCTTTTGAAAGTGAATGCTCTTTTTTTTCTTCTTCTTTGACAACAATGCAAACATTGTCGGTGTCCTGTAAGGCGAGAGTTGCCTGCAAACACATGATACTTAAAAAATTATTCCACAGGCGCGCGTTGGATATGACATGACAGAGAGCCAACCAGGCCTGTAGGGCCGAGTTGGCTATAATCATCTCTCACTAAGTGCGAGTGGAACACTGATTTTATTAATTTTGCCTCAAAATATAGATAAATCATCCCAACTTTATTTTGTTAAATTTCTCTTACACTTACCAGTTTGTAGAGCATGGTATAATGGCTCATAACCCATGATGGCTAGGCCAATGAAATCTTCTGAATTGCATTATCAAGTGATCCAGTTTATAAAATCAATCAGTATCACGGACAATGGAGAACTACGGTTTTAGGTGTTGTTGTCCACAAGCGCCACGGCTTAAGGGACAAGTAATTTTTTAACGGAAGGGGAATTAGGAACGGAAGGGGAATTAGTCATCGCTAATAGGGGAACTATGGCATGGGAAACTGACCACCAATTAACTGTCAATAAGGGAGGAGAGGGGAATCATGGATTTATTTCAGAACCTGAGAGGAAGATTAGGTAAATTTTAACGTGACACTGCCTAACGTAATCAGCCAGGTTACAAAGCAAAATACTAGTGTCTACCGTTTGAAGAAAATTTGCGAAAGTTGAAGATTCAGTTACTCTTTGGGATCTGAAAAGCGTGTTCATTGTTATAATTTTTTATATACAGTTGTTCTGAGAAAAAGTTGTTGGAAAAAAAGTTAAAGTGCATGCGTAAACCAAACTTTAGGATTTCAGGGAAATCTGAGGAAACATCACCATAAGGACGAGGCATCGCGGAGGTTTGATGAATTTTTTTATTATTTCGTCTTCGTTTCGTACTTTCTTTATTCTTTATAATTACAATACATTGATTGCCGGATACCCATATTACCTTTCGAGATTGTCGCCTGTACTTTTGTCTTTTTTTTTCCGCAAACCCTTCTCGAAACAGCTGTATACCTCATGGTTTTAGAGATCAAAAGGTACAATAGTCCTCTAGCATACTCTTCCTTTATCAAACAGACTTAGTTGTCGGCCTACAATTTTACGCTGTACCGTTTCCCCCATTCGCTAAAAGCACAACTTTGATTATAACTTCTAAAGCATTTTTGTGCGCCGTTTGAGATTGAAAACAGTTGTTGCGAAAGTTTCTATTTTTAAACATCATTTCTTTAATGGATCGTGCTTAGTCTCCTCTCTCTCTCTCTCTCTCTCTCTCTCTCTCTCTCTCTCTTCCCCTCCCCCCCCCCGTATTATTTTTTCTTCTTTTTGATTCCTCGAAGATAGTTTTTAAAAAGGAATGGTGATCTCTCGATTTCAGACCCTTATATTAGGTTACCATAGCGACACTGCAGTCTCTGAGAGATACTCTTTATTTTGGTTTTCCGTGTCTGTTACTTGCGAACAAATCGAGCGGCCCCCATTTTGAGTTTAAAAACCTGTACATTCGGCACAGAACCACCTTAATTTTTTATCATTATGGCGATCTAATCTTTATCCGTCTCGTCTGCCGAATAAAGCAAAAGTTGAACTTCAACTATGATAGGCTTGCCTATCATTTAATGTCTAAAATCTCTCGTAAATAATTCCCGGAGCCACCATTATCACTTGAGTAAGTAGCTGACTCCAAAGTCCTTTGGAATGATTGGGGACTGCTATTACTTCGTGGGACGAGTCATTGGTGGTGATGTTACTTCTAGATACGGAAACCGGGCTTCTCTGCGAGCTCCAGGGTGTAGAAGCTTTGTCATTCAAGGTGGATTGGCGCTGTGTTGACGACACAGCTGTCATGATAGGTATCCCGGATGGTACCCTTGACGCATGCGTTGCTTTTCTTGTCATCACAGGTATCCCGGATGTAAACAGTGGGGTTTGTGTTGCCTTTGTTGTTGCACCAGTATTCGTTACCTCTCGCTCAAGGTGCGTGCGTTTCGCGAAGTCTGCACTAGTGTGCGTGACCACGTGTGCTACAGAGTTAAGCGTGATCTGCACTGTTATGTTATTGCACAAATCCCCAACACAGCAATCAATGGAGCAACTGTTCACAAACCCGGATGAATTATCACACGAGGCGTTACCGTTAAACCAGCAATCTTGCCTAATGGAGCAGTTTTTGATCACCTCTACATACCTGCCAATTTCAGGGTAGTCCATAATTCTGGTGACTGTGAAGCAAGAGTCATATGCTTGCGGACATTCCACTTCAGTTGTTATGCTTTTGCATGTTGAACCGATCAGTCCTTGACAAGAAAAGCACCTGGTGGAAAGAGCTGTGTAAAGAAATGAATGAAAATCTGTACCTGTTTTCGGAACAAAACGGTTCATAAGCCATGGATTTGACTCCATGATTGCAGTCATTCACTATCAGCTGACTCGAACTCAGATAACTCAACTCCACGTCGATTCGAACTAATTTCTGAACTTTCCCCTGGCTCAAATTTACCCTGATAACTCGAACTGAGTAAAGACGTCGGTGGATCAACGTCAAAGTGTCAGAACACAGCTGATTGACGATTCATACGAAGGTGATAACACAGGCAAATTTCCACCGAAATTTCAATACGTAGATGATCTTTCTATTCAGGATCAATTTTAAGTTGCCATCTTCGACTTCTGGAATTGAGTTGTTAATGTAAAATTTTGACACTACGAACCAGCCACTATTTATTTACCCACCTGGGCCGGGCGAAGAGGTGTGTTTTGCTTTTTTTTTCGTTAAGACGTAGTGCTATGAATATTCCCCACTTATTGGCAAATAGATAAACAATGCATCAGTTCGGCAGACAAACCACCCTCCCCTCCCCCCCTTAGCTTAAGGTCTGGATCCACCATTACTATCACAGTGAGGATAGAACTAAATTAAAAAAAAAAAATTCGCTGAGATTACTGTATCACTCGAAGCTCAGATCATATTTTCCTTTTTCGTGTTTACTTAGGGATCAGAAGAAGAAAGAAAATGATCTGTTGTCTTAAATGGGTTTAGAATTGGAGTTAATGAAGGTCGACTTGTGTAAAAAGATAAACAATTAATTGCTGATCAAGATTTTCTCTTCGGAGGAGCTAATTGATCGACCGAGTCATAAAAGCGGATTTTTCTCAGTAATTCATGTTTAAGAGTAGATCCATGATACGCTTGAAGAGCTTAAGAGATCTTAGAAGAGAGTTTTTTATTATAGTGAACAAAAATGATAAAGGCCCTTATGTCCGTCTTTCATCAATGTCATTGCTCAATTTTATCTCGGTCTAATGTAAGGAAAACACACAAGAAATTACGCTTTTAAATACCACTTTTGAGTGGATGTGACAGTCATATGCATAATAACCAATGAATCTTTATGAAATTCAAGCTGATTTGTGCATGATAAGCGAAAAGATAGAGCTCTTTGAAAAGAATAGAGCCGCTTTGATAGGGAGACCGCTAGTCAGGCATTGGCCTTTGTGTCCCGCTTATTTCCAAGCGGCTGAATTTACAGGATATTTGCAGCGGATAACAAGGACCTAGAAAAAAGAACTAATTAAAACTTAAAGAATGGAAATGATGAGATTTTAATCTGTTGATCTTCTGTGACAATGGAAATTATTGGAATGAAATAATTGGCTCCACAGAAACGTATGGCGCTTTCCCATGATCTAAACACAAAATTGATACACAACTTTGGTCATCGATCTTAAAAGCGATCGAGGTCTTTTTTAGGGCGGTAAGAGGCGGTTTTTTTTCTGTTAATTGGTTTACGGTGGAAACTTGACGGGTTTCTAATTATTATCGGAGAAATTGTTATTAGAGAGGTGGTTGACTTCAGAAAGAAACGAGGAGTAAAGCTTCGTTATTAAAGCAACAAAAGACATTCTAAAACGAGTTCATTCAGTCAAAAATGAAGGAAAAGCCAAAAGCAAACCCGTTCGCCCGCTTTGAAATTCAGTGAGAAACTTAGACCTCTCCAAGTGAAAGCATCCTAAATATTAACGAACTTCGCAACGTTGGTTTTGATTAAAACAATTTTCACTTGAAAAATTGAGGAAGATCAGTTGATTTTGCGCTTGTATAAAAATTGCCCTTACCTGGTCTTGAAATCCGTAAACAGAACACCAAAACTGCAAATGTCCAAATTCGCGTCATCTTGTGCAGATCCCGTCCTTTAGCGAAGTTGTTTTACAGTGATCCAGCGCTTTCCATCTGTTTTATCCAAAAAAACCGCCCATCTGTCAAAGTGGACCTTTTGACGTAAAAAACTTGATTCTTCAACAAATATCTCTCTAAATTAAAGTCGACATCGGCGTAATGACTTTATAAATGTAATCCCTTTGGCGACAGCGGTTTAGATCACGCACTTCCGGAAAGAGGAGATTAAAGCTTACTTTTGACGTCAGCAAAGACTAAAAAGGATATTCTGAAAGATTCGAGATTGGTTTTCGTCTTGCATCTCATTGGTTGAGAGATTGGCGCGAGTTTTACAGACCAATTATAGACAGAAGTGAAACAAAACCAACGCAATCCCAGATTATTTTAGACGCTCGACTGAAAATTTCTTCAGAGACATAGATCCGCAAGAAATAAGCTTTTATTAAAACGGAAGTCCTTTATCATTGCAATCTGGCGTTTTCAGTAAAGAGGAAAAAATAAAAACCTGCCAAAATTCCTGAGTACCTCTGAACTGAATCTTTGCGCTCGTGTAAAAATTTTTCAGTTGTTACTAATGAAGATATTGAGCAACTGTTTTTTGGTTTTTCTTCAAACAGATAAGCCTGCCAGAAAAAACAGAGAAGGTAAGCGAAAAGAGAATTGACCATGATGTGCAAACACTAAGAGCGAGGTATGCGGAAAGGAGAGACAGAAGTCTAATTCAGGAAGTTTGAATCTGTGTTTATGCTTTCAAAGCAAACAAATGAATGGCTTACAGCATTTTCTACACGCACTTCGGTTTCAATTGCAACACTCATTGACTTATTTTTCATTCTTTCTTTCCTTGTTTCTTTTCTGATTTGGAGCTCAGACATAAAAGAGGAAAAGGTCTCGTTCAAATAGTGTACCGATGTCACGGATTGAATAAGAATTCCAATTCTGAAAACTCCAAGGGGATTCTGTCTAATTTTTTAGCATTGAAAAATATCTCAGTGTGCGTTTACAGTCTTTCAGGAGACGTTATTCTATCCTATGACTATTAAAAAAGGTCACATACGTATCCACCGGGTCATATGAAAGGAAGAGGTAGAGGAAATAGATCTTGAATTGCGAAATTCTCTCTCCTTTGCCTGTCAGCGTAATTTTTACAGCGACTGAGCAGCGACTGGTAATGAGAGAAAACTTCCGCTGTATAACCTTGAGCCCACGAATCCTTCCCATCGTGCTTTGTTCTGCCACGTCTCCATTTTGAAGATCACCGAGTTGTCGAGATTTGGTTGAATTTTTGGGTAAAATGCAGTACTTGCGACGAGATAAGAAGGACGAAGAAGATGGTAAAGGACTTTTGTAAAGGATTTCTGTGCTATTAGTTTTTCATCAATTTTGTAGCAAATCAGAGTTTCATGCTTTGTCCTCGCCCGTTACAGGTTCGCAGTCGAACCCGTTTCAGAATCTTGACAAGAGTGCCGTGCTCCAAGAGGTTAGCCAGAAATATCTAGTTTTTCCTTAAATCTCAGTTAGATCTCAGTCTTTTTAAATGAAAAATTACGCTATAAAATACTTGTGTCTCCCCAGGCTCGCACATTTAACGAAACTCCGATAAATCCGCGGAAATGTATTCACATTCTGACGAAGATTCTGTACGTACTGAACCAGGTATGCGAGCTTTTAACTGGAAGAATATTTAATTTCTCCCCATAAAACATTCACTCCCACGAATGACCTTAAAGTTGTTTCTCATTGTAATATCAGTGCATTGTCAAGTAGAAAGATAATGAGAATCGATTCATTTAACACCGAATTCACAGAGCTAAAATTCCGGGAAAGTTATAGCGGACATTGAGGAGATGTCGAGAACTAGGGACTGTGAGGGTTGATCCTTTCTTCCTAACAAAGATATGTAGATTCTCAATGCTGTTCTTTATATATTTCCTGTGGTACAAACAGATGATTTTGTTTAATGATCAAGAGCTTCCACAGTTGATGATTATTTCTTATATTCTCATGGTGTTAATAAGTGATTCAGGGGTGATGTTGTAAGGAGAAGTTAGATGTTTATCACTTATAGGGATGAAATGGTGAAGGGGTTATATTCAGATTGTTTGAAGAGATATTAAAATAGCAGTATACTTTATATAATCAGCAGTAAATTGCTCTCCTTAATGTAAAAACTGAGGATTGATTTTTTACGACCCATGGTTGTGAACCTACAGTACCGCTCGCAATATGTTAACCAAAAAATGCGAACAAGATGTGCCATAAATCGCATGCAATTGCAAATTAAAAAAATGCATGTCAAAAAATTGCACATGTGCACATAAGCTTGAGACATCTGCCTCGTCAGGTATGAAGAGTTTGTCCTTTTGTTTTCTAATATTGGCAGTTTATCTTTTTAAAGAATAGGCTACAATGCAATAGCACTGAAACACTACACAGCTACCAATGACAAGCAAACTTGTTCGTTTCAATCACTGTTCGAACCGACATTCCCAATATGCTGTTACCAGTGGGACTTTGTAATCAGAATATATAGATGATTTATCATTTTCCAATGGAATTCTTTCATCAAAATAGCTATTTCTCACTTCATATGAAAAAAACATCCATTGCAACGGGTTGGGAATTTGTTCAAAATAAATTTATTTTTAGTGTGTCGTAATTTGGTAGAATCAGCAAAGGCACCTGTTACTAAGCAGTTGTTATGTTCTGAATGGAAACCTATGTGCAAATACTTATTTCATAGCTTTTGCCATTGGTGAACATGGTGTTCTCACAAACTGGTTCATTCATCTCGCCATTTAAACAGAAACTAATAAGTTGTACTCGCTTATTTTAATGGTGTTGTGTTACATTGTGGTTAACTGTCTTGACTACATCTTGTTCTGACTCTGCTTTGGAGTCTGTTTTGAAAGATCTTGACTTTATTAACAGATGCTTACACAGTATTCTGATGAACAGTTGTCTGTTGAAATGTTTTTGGTTTTTGGATGTTTTTTTCATCTTTGACATTGCAATTTACTGTAACTTGACCTTTCATCGTTGTATTATGATGCGCTCCGCGATCTAACAAATCATCACGTGTAATGCGAAATTAAACTGTTTACATTCTAGTGAGTAAACACTGAAGCTAGTGCTGATTACAATGAATAGAATAAAAGATCATTCATGATCTTAAATGGTATATTTTTTGAAGGTGATCAAGCTAAGTTTGAAGTTTGGAAGAAATCATCAGCTATGATGCAAACACCAATTGTTTACATTTCACTGCCTAAACATCCAAGGGAGCACTGATAGCATTGAATAAATTGAAAAAATTGGAAATTTTCTGTTGTTGACTTGCCACTTTTTCAAACCTAAAATTTCTTTGCTTTACACAACAATGTAATACAAACGAAACTTATAGCAATGAATAACAAAGGCACTTGAGTTGCGCATTTTTTTCGACTGTGTGCACAAAAGAATCGTATATATGCGTCCAACTATCCTGTGTCTGAGTGTATGAAATTTGCCTGCGCAGTTAACATTTATGCAAGCAGTACTGCAATAAATGAAACATTTGGACCATCCTTTCTCAGGGGATCCCAAATCGGAGGAATATTCTGCTACTTGCATGCCTTCATGATTGTCTTTCTTGTAGAAATATAGGTGACCAGAGAGAAGGGAAGAGGCAATATTCATTATGCTATGTCATGTGAATTTGAAAGTCAATAGAGAATTCATCTTTATGCAAGCATGTATGTGTGGTTTTTTTTCAGGGGCAACATCTTGGTACAACAGAAGCTACAGAGGCATTCTTTGCAATGACGAAGCTTTTTCAGTCAAAAGATGTGAGTTGGAGTAGATGTTTTAGATTTGTTAGTCTCAGAATATAAGATCAAGGTCTAATTTTTAGTTCAAACATTATATCAGACATCAAAACTCTGTTTAAACATTTTTTCTGTAGGTAATGCTTCGCAGAATGGTGTACCTGGCTATAAAAGAATTAGCAAATATAGCTGAGGATGTGATCATTGTAACGAGCAGGTTAGTAATAAGAAGATTTTATATTTGCAGTTTATATATAGGAAAGCAAATGTTATTCAGATTAACCCTTTAACTCCCATGAGTGACCAAGACAGAATTTCTCCATACAATATCAATACAATATCAACTGGATAAGTGATGAGAATACAGAAAAATATCAATTTGGGGATAATTAGTTGATCCAATGCTAAACTCTCTGAACTAACATAAGAAGAATTGTATAATTGACAGTAAGGAGAATTACAAATTTGACCTAGGAGTTAAAGGGTTGATTAGTTGAAGTGACTTGTGAAGAAACTGGACAGATTTCTTTGTCATATTTTGCGAGCAGTTTTTTTGACTTGACTTTCTTGTTAAATTGTCTGATCAACGGAAACTTTCTGTAATTTAGTCAGTGACTTGTATAATGTGTTGACACAGAAAGGAATATTCTGAAAAAATAAATAAACTTTTAGGGAGCACTATTGTTTTCATTGTTAACTTTTCCTTTTTTTTTCCTCTACTCTGTATGTGACCTTCCATAAAAAACCTCTTTTCATGAATGACATTATTCTCCAAGCAAACATACATTCACCTAAACATGGTGACAAAAATTTAAATTGTGATTAAAATGGCTGTAAGTTGGACCTCTGGTTGGCAACTTCAAGGGAATCTTACATTTCAAGTTGTTACTGATGAGGGTTTTAGCATTCAGAATATTTCTTAAATCTTTAATTCCCACTAGTGACCAAGGCAGAATTTCTTCTAACAATATTAATACAATACCTGGAAGAAAAGCGACAGGACTAAAGAAAAATATAAACTATAGGATTGCTTGGTGATCCAATATGAAATTCTCTGATCTAACACCATAAAAATTGTATGGTAGACAGTAAGGAGAATTAGCAAGAAGATCTTGGGTGCAACAGGGTTTAATATTTCTTTTCCAAGCAAAGCCCTTAGCCATCCTTGCAGGAGTTGTTTCATTCCTTTGGTTAATAAAAAGTTTTTCTTTCTCAGTCTGACAAAGGACATGACAGGAAAGGTAATACTTTCTGATTTTACTCTTTATACAACAACTTGGTTCTCAGAGTGCGTTAG